ACGGGGTCGAGGGGACTCGCAACTGGCGCGTGTACCTACCATGCACATTCACTGAATCTGGCTTTTGCCCGCCCATGCGTCCACGGACGAGTGCTGCTTCTCCGAGCGTAATCTCCGAATTCAACCGGTGGCCCGGCTGACGGGCAGGTGTTTCCAAAATCTAACGACCGAGAATCTCTCATCGCGTTCCCCCTGTCCTCGTCGCTGCTCTCCACTGCCCTTTTCGTCTCTGAGATTAGACTTTCTCCTCAAAGTCTGTCTCAGCGGAGTGATTGAAACCCGAAGCTCCCACGCCAGCCGAGCCCTTTGAGATAAGTCCCAAAAAAAAAGTGGCTCCGACGGCTGCAATACCTAAGGAGAAGATATTGCACTGCGGTCCCGTAGAGACCTGCAGGCCGCGGAACGCCGAAGGAAGCCGCTCTTCCCATTTCACTACCTTATAGCCTCTAGACATCGGATCCCTATTCCGTCATCAATCCGATGATGCTTGAATTTGCGGAAAAATAAGAGGATCCGACATCAGAGTGCCCCACTCACTCACTCAGCCTTTCGGAGATAGCCGTGAAGTGGTCGTATCTCTGGCACGATTTTTTCCCAAGAGAAGCTCAGAGAGCGCACAGAGGACCGGATATTTCGCACTTCACTTATCAACTCGTAGGATCGAGTCTAGCTCGGAGAGTATAAGCTCGAGTTCAGCCGAAGACTATCGGATAGCCGAAGTCGACCCGGTGGATTGCGAGAAAGTTCGTTTAGTGGACGAAACATTAAAATCGGCGATTAGGGCGAGTCATCGTGAGATCTCAACATGCAGCATCTGAAACAGCTGAGCAAGCCCTTCATGGGCGGAGGGAAACAGAAAGAAAAGTAAGTTCTCACGCTATTCCTCCGAAATGACCGAAAAATCACGGCATCTAATCTAGAGAAAATCCGATCAAACTCGTACCGCCCTTGCCTAATCGCGAAACTACCTCAGTTGGTATAACCGCGAGGATAAACTAGATATAGGCGTCACCATGGGCGAGGAAGGCGGCGGTATTGCGAGCAGCGGACAAGCTTGCTGTCGGAACGTGCCGAAGATAATCAAGGTCATTCTTCAATTTATTAGAGACTGCGGACGACCGAGAGACAGTAAGCCGTCAGACGGCAGTTAGTGAGCGGGCGGGTGCGATGGATTGCTCGGGAAACTGCACCGAGCAAGAATCCTCTCCCTCCGAGCGAATAAGTACACCCGGGAAGGTTCTACATCCCGCACCTGTCACACCACCGGCTTTCGAAACAATGTCGTTACTTGGCTTCGGATCGCAATTTCGAGCCTCCCCGGCATGCTCGCTCGATGCTTGGAGGTTTTCCGCCTGGTCAATCGAATCAGTGACGTACCTGGAGGAATGGAGGTTCCCAAGACTGACCATGCCCATTCGTCGCCGAAGTCGGGATCGTTCCACGCTTTTTTGATCGTTCGAGCTACGGATAAGCGCGGCTGACAGATCGTCTGCCAGTGCCGTGGAACAGACGTCACTCATTTCATGAGAGAAACCTGGTCGGACTGATTCATCGATCACCGATTCCGGCAGACGGATAATTCTCGAACACAGTCTCCGAGCTATCGATTTAATTCCACGTCTTCCACGAGGAGTGCGTGACAGGGGAAAGAGTCTTGGGCACCCGACAATTCGCACCCGAAAGGTCGAGCGCATCCCGACCTGACCACCGCGGTTATGACACACGTATAGAAGGTCGCCTAACTACCGGATCGGTGGTCAACTGCGGGCAGCAGAAGACAATGCGCACGTCTGTCCATGCTTCCTCAGCCATACCAGGCGGAGAATAACGTTTTGTGGGCCATTTTTAGAAGCTGGTTCGTCTTGCGTGTGCCGCCTAGGCGTGGTCGTCCGGTTTGCGCTCCATGCACCCCCCTGGCTGACTGAGTCAGTTCTCCTCCTTCTGCAACCCTATGTCGTCACCGTCGACTCGTCTGGGCTCCGTCCGTCTGACGCGGTTTGCGTCTTGAGGAGAGACCGACGGACGAACAGGGGCCGGTACGGGACAGGGAGCGCGGATCCTGTCGCGAGCGAGTTCCGCCCAGAGCATGCGGCGGCGGCGGCCGCGACGGCCTTATCGTGTTAACACGAGAACGACAGGAGCTTCGACCTCATCAGATTAGGAGCTCCTGGTCAAGGTCTCAGGGTAGTCCTCCCTAGTTGGTACTGGTGTATGTCGTCCTCGCTGTATCATCAACTATATATATGTATACAACGATGACATCAGATATTGTGGCGGAAAGACTTGGATACTCCGCTTCATTGGAACCTCGCGAGACCGGTTGGACGCGCGCCCCGACGGACCAACCCGGACGGCTCCCCGGCTCACGGGGCTCCGCTCGGAATTCAATATCGGGCTCTGGCTCAAGTCGTTCTTCTGAACCACGCTCCGAAATTGTCTTTGGGTGCTTCCGATCGGTCAGCCTTCAAGGATTTCTCTGACGAATTCTCCACGGAGCCGCAAACCGTCAGAGTGTAGGTTGCATGTGCGAAAACGATCTTCTTCTGAGCAGCCTGGCGACCCGTCGCTTGCTCGGTTCGTTGGCATGTCGGTCGGTCGGTGGCTTTGTCAGTGGTTTGGCTCAGGTGTTGCTTTGACAGGCCGGTAGATCACACCGGAGCTCCACCTCAAAATGTCGACCTGCTTTCCTCATGCGGCTTAGCACCTCGAATACTCGTTCCAGTATTTCTGGTGTGAAGGATGTTTGCCCCGGTCCTAACACCGCGGTGGAGCTTCTTAATCGAGACAATTTTCCAGTTTTCTCCGCAGAGCTCGTTCATCAGAATGATCAGCATATTACACAATCGGACTTCATCAGAGCCGTGGCGCGCCATTTCTATTCCGCGTAGCGAATTGAGATTCATACATGGGTCGCACGAGCCTCGTGCGCTCTTGTCTCAGAGCCCGGTTTCACTTTCGGATGGAAAATAGTTCGCGAGAAAGAGCGATCGATGGAGGGAGGATCATGCCCAGGGGATACTAAAGCTCTTCCCACCGAAAATTCCCTCAAATTTCACTCATCGAGGCCTTGCCATCGCATGGCGGACCGATCGAAAGAGAGGCCCGCACGGTTTTCTAATTCCAATAAGTAGGAAGCGTATCTCAACCGCATCGTCAGCAAGTTATTACTTCTTTATGTTCTGTACGTGATCGGACGCAGCACTTCGGTGGAGGCCTAAGGGTGTCGGACTATTTCGCAAAGCTCTCCGCGACCTTCAGCATCGCATATGCATACATGTATGTCTCGTTTCTGATCACCTGTGGACCATGAGGCGTCAGGGCAGCATCGACGTCTCGACGGCCTCCTGAGAGGCCAAGCGAACCTCATCTAGAAGTAAATATGATCTGTCTCCATCAAGATGAGCAGCTTTTTGCGCCCGCCGTCACCATCGTCGATGACAACAACCCGTCCGAACCGAGAAAAACAAACACACGACGGTATCCCGTCTGGAGACTTCCGCTCGACCGGGCGATGTCTGACGACTCGCAACCGACTGCCGGAATAGAACACCACAGACGTCGAATTGCATCATCACTCCGATAGCTTCACGCGATGAACAAGGGTCACGAGCATTAAAGCGGCCTTGAAATGACCTCAGGCTTCTGAGGAGTTACGCCTTGCCGTTTCGGTAATGATGAGCCCGATACGATGGTCACGCGAGCTTCTTACCTCCGCCGCGGCGAAAGCCTCGCTCGAGACGAATTTCATACGAAATTAGTTAATTGTGAGAACCGAGAATAGGGAGTTTTAATTTCTCTGCCGCTGCCCACCTTCGACGGTCTGATCGGTGCCAGGATTCCCACTGTGTTCTCCGAGTCTTGTTTGGCGAGTCTCTCAGGCTAATCTAAACCCAGACTTTCGGGTAAAGGTTGTCCTAATTTATCCTCTGCCCTGGTTTGTTTTACTGCGTTGACCTCACGAGGACCCAATCCAGTCAAAGAGCCGTCCGCGTAGCGAGTATGCCGTGGCATCAGCGACGCTGGCGACGTCGCCGACGACAGGGCGGGTCGGGCTAAATTCAGTCGAGCTCTCCGTCATATAAACGCTTTCGGGGACAAAAGTCAGGAGCACGCCTTCTCAATGAGCTCTTTTTTAAGACAGCTGTTCTTCTGTCGGACGGGCCATCCCCGCTCGGCTCTACCGTAGCCTTGGCTTCGTCTCGTGACTTAATTCATTCTGGAATCGGGAGGAGGCCGAGAGAAAACTTCACGGAAACACACTATGGTCACAGTTTCGCACTCGGCTCTGAGCGAACGCGTCTGTCGGCCTCTGATTCGATCCTGTCCGGGCTCACGAGCCCTGATCCGCCAATTTACGGGAGTCAACTCCGGGATGTCTGAGCCGTTTCGAGGGGGAAATCCATCTCCCGGCGATGAGGGCTCAGGAGCGGCGTGAAAAAGGAGATATTTTCCCGCGTCCAGAACCCGACCTATTATTTTGAACGAGCGGGGCAGGGAAAAAAGCATTCCGAGGAAGACTTCCGCCTTCCAAAAAGCTCGGCATGACGGCGCGGCGTTTCACAACCCACGGAGCGAGACGAACTTTTGCGGAGCGTTCTCTTACTCGGAGAGAGTGATGGTGTTTCTCATTTCAACAGAAGTGAGCTCGAGCACTTGCTGCGACTGCATGTGACATGTCGTGCGACTTAGCCGGGACGAATCACCTCCAGGGCTCAACTGCTTGAATTCAGTAAGCCATCTTTTTCCAGCTGGGGCTTGCCGGGCATCTGGCATGATGGCCCCCTGCACTCGACCATCATGAACGAATAATTTCAGACCCCGTCCTTCTGCGGATGCGCTCCGGCGGCGAGAGAGGACAAGCGGGACGATGCTATGAAATCTCCGGGGGAAGATCATGCAATTTTCCCAACCTGAGTCGTTGCTCCTCCGAGACATCGCGAATTTTCAGGAGTTTGGAGTTCAATTGGAGAAACAGTGAACAAGTATTTTTTCCTCCACAGAAAATCTTGTTCGAACTGCAAGTGCCCACGGGAGTCTCACGACATCTACAACGAAGAGAATGTGAGTTCGAAAGAGCGCCTCGGAATCAAACAGACCGACAAGAAGTGCGACCCGCAGGATTCGAGGCCTGGCAAACCCGACGGGTATTCATGGGTTCCTCCGGGACTACCAATCGAGAAGGTAAACACGTCAGCCCTCTCTCCGGTCCAAAACTCATTCGGAGACCGATAACAAAGATTTCCCTGCTGCTACCTACAATATTCGTTTTCATTCTGAGCATATTCCTCCTATCTTCCGCTCTTAGTTAGCTCCGCATAAAATTTATGACTCACGGTTCATTATCTGAGGCGGCTGACAATAATACGGGCTCTAAATTTATTCCGTCGGATGCCAGATCGACAAATACTTCCGCGAGCTGCCGAACCATAAAGTGCCGAAGATCGGAACGCCCGGAGAAAAATATCGGGACAAGCAGTTGATTCTCCAACTGCCGAAACAGGATCTCGCGTTGCCATACTGCAAATTCTTGGAGAAAGAGCATCACAAAAGCTTCGACGAATTCGTCAATACCCGCAATGAGGCCGCACTGGATATCGGGTTTGTTAACCAGGCGCTCGACAGATCATTGGTAAGTTAATCGATCAAGGATCCGTCTCGGAAGGATCATCCTTTCTTCGATAGTATTTTTTTTGCGGAGCGATAGGGATCGGCTCCTCGAATGTAGCCAAGAATAGGGTCGAGGAAGCGACGTCTTACGACCGGTGGGCACTTGATGCAGTCATCGACGTCGTCGTCGTCCCTCTCTCGATCAGACCCGTCAGGAAGGGGACGGACAGCGAACTTTATATGCTACGACTGAATCAATATCTCTGCACACACTGTCGTTGACCATATGTACATCTAGCTAGAGCACAATACCTTCCTGGAATTATATCCAAGCGAGAGAGGGCGTGGAGCTCGACCCGTACTCTAAGTAATCGGATGTATTTCGCAAGAAAGAACTCCTCCGCTGATCAAATACCGACTCTCGCTCCTGCATCTATCCGGGAGTCTCTCCAACGGTTGATCCTGCTGTCGGGTGTGTCGGCTCAAATTTATGACGAGGCCGTAAAATTACACGGTCTCAAGAGATGAATTACTAGGTGCCGGCGATTTCTCCGCAATCTCATCTTGAACATTTTGCGCTCCTAGTCCGATTCGGGCTCGACTCATTGAATACACAATGCCGAGTGCCTCAAAGGTAGACTGTTGAACCACATTCTCCCGCGCGCTCATTCCGGTCATTAGCGCACATCTTCCATATCTATGACAGCTCCTCAGAGAACCATCCGGAGCCTCCCTCTTCAGCCGTTCCATTCCCCGTGCTCGACATGAATTCCCACCCAGATACATAGGTATGAATATCGCTCCCGTGGACGAGCTCGGGAAGGATTCAATCACGCTGCTCAACTTTTCAGGACTGTCGAAGATGTGGAGGAGTTCTTCCGGAGGGACAGCTTGGAGTTATCGCACCCAAGTTCGGCGAGCAGGTGGCTTGGCATTGCGCTTGCTTCACATGTGACACTTGCCACGAACTTCTTGTGGATCTCACCTACTGTGTGAAAGACGGTCGCATCTTTTGCGAACGTCACTACGCAGAACAGATCAAGCCCCGCTGCGCCGCTTGCGATGAGGTTAGTTACGAAATGGACAGAGCCTAATCTATGGACTACGTAGACGACGAAAAGAGCTTTCTTCACTTTGAACGGTAGCCCGCGAAGCGTGCCGGAACGCCCTGCGCTCCGTGACATGTATGACGTGCGCCGAACATCTCGACTGGGAGGAAAGAACATTAATAGACCACAGCCGTGACCTGTACCCTTTCTAGTCGCTGCTCGTAACGTTCACGTAATCTTCCTTGCGAGGACGAGGCCTGAGATCGTTTCCGTCTAGCGTAGCGGCATATTCGTCAGCGAACTAGTCGTCCGAATATATCTTACGTCGTCTCGAGCCCCTCTCGCCGCTCTGATCCTGAGAGCTAGTACATGGCGTGTACTTACCGAGTAGGGTCGAGTAGTCCTCGACGTTGTATCAATATTCAACGGCGAGTAGGTCCCATTATGCACCGAGGTTCCGAGTTAATTTTTCATGGTGAAAGCCAAGCTGCTATCCGCTGCAGCTGCGTGGGGATTTCGAGTCACTGAATCTGAGATGGAGGCATGGGAGCTCCCTCCGCGGGGAATCCCACTCACCGTGTTTTACTTGCGGATTGTCCGCGATATGATGGGCATTCGATAATGGTGCTCCGGTCAATGGCATTAATCGTTTTTTGCGATGCCCCATGATATTTCGGTCCCTCGGAGAGTCGGTCTCATTCCCTCGACGGATCCGGACCATGGACGTCGTGTTTCGCGAACCGCTCCTACGTACATACAATCATCTGCGAACTGCAGGGGACGAAGGCTGTCCCAGTGTTTTCTGGCTTAAAGCAGTGAAGGAGTGAGAGAGTCGCAATTAAGTCTGGGTGGAGTTCGAACGACGTATGTGGGCAACAAAGACTCCGTAACCCGACTTTGACTAGCTCGGATCTGGACCTCCGCAGCTGCTTATCTCGACTATTACGCAAGGAGGACTCCTGTCAACGACGCTACTTTCGGCAAGGATCGATCGATTCTTTTCCCGGCATGGGAACTGCAGAGAAACATGTCTCGTGACGTCGCCCGGAGTGATTAATGCGACATCTCTCAACGATTCCCTCCGACTTGATGCACTCACAATGTATTGCGTATGTGCCTCGTTGAGCATGTTCACTTCAGAACCGTTCATTTGAGCCCCGAAGCCCCACGAGCTGCTTTGGAAGCTCTTGAAAAGACGCTGAGGTTACGAGTCGCTATGAAGCCGACGAGGGAGCGTCTTCGAAGCTGAGAGTCAGAGAGGGCAAATTGGAGGATTGGAATCAAAGGAGTCCCTGAGCAGATGGAATTGCCCCTGTAGCTGCTTCGGTCCAAGGTCGAGGAGAGTCGAAGGAACGTATCGGAGAGGATTCCAAGAAGGAGACCAGCGCACGAAGAAAGCCGAGCACGTACGCATGTATTCGGATGGCCGAGTAAAAACAAGTCGATGACTCCCCGAACGAAACGACACACGCACGGCCTCGTGTTCGTAATTGTATCAAGCCTAGTCTCATTTGATTATGAAACGAACATTTCGTCCATAATCGGCCGCTTTGCCGATGCATCTATTCTTGGCTTAGTCAATTATTCTCAGCCGAGTTCAGGAGTCGAGTACGGGGTAACATTCGGCTACCGGTTGAAATATTCATTCCTTCACAATATCCGCATACCCGTGCACTCACTCGCTCATCGAGGTTAAGTTCCTCCGAAGACCCCTCTGGAGACTATCCCGCTCACGGAGGTTCTGATGACATGTCGTCTCGGCCGAGGAAGAGCTTGCAACTCTCATACAATAGAACAGAGGGGTTCGCGAACAGAATTCGGGAGGCTGCGGAGAATCTCCGAAAAACATTCACTACAATGACGGAGCTACATTCTCGAATCTCACGAATAGGCGTCACAACTGGATGGGGTCTCTGTGCTCCAGGATATTCAACTCAATTGAATCGCAAGGGCTGGCCATTGAACCCATAGGAATCCGGAATGAGGGAAACGGAATCACCGGACTCGACCATTCAGAGAGGGTATTCTCCAATCGTGGTGCATTAGTGGGAAATTTTTCTTTCAAAAGTCGTCTGTAAACGTAGGTACTTTGCGAATAGGGTCTGCAAGCCGTTCAGCCGGCCTTCGATTGATCTAGGTAACTCTTGACACTCAGATTCGCGTCGTCACTCATTACCATGACAGACGGAGGACCCGCATCCCTTCTGTTAATCGCTGACCGAAAGTTACTGGGTCGATCACCGATTCTCCCCCCTTCCCCCGGATCTCGGGAATAGAGCTGCCAATGACACTTTAGAGAATCCCTCAGAAGCGGTCGGTTGAAATTGGGCAGCTGGTAAGCTTCGGCAGAAACCTCAGGGAGTATCCAGAGTCGATTTCTGAGGCAACTCGACGAATTTCCGGCGAACGATTCCCGCGCTTGGGCCCCTTGTCGTTGGACCGGGGAAAGACTCGCGGGGCTTCCATCTTCCGCTCCAAATCTACACAGATTGGTGGATGTTGAATTTATTTCGGCTACACCCGGCTTTATCCCGCCGCCCTTTTGTCCCTGGTTCTCCGTCGCCTTCATGTTTTGCTGGACCCGATCGATGCGTCGAACGGAGGTTCCCCGAGCCTGGCGATTGTCTCATTAATGTCCCTTCCCAAGGCAAATCGCAGAAACTCCATGCAGAGGAGAAAACCTCTGACTTCCTTCAGGTCAGGCTAAGGCTTCAGCTTCATGGGGAGCGAATGAAGAGCAGTTATTCAAATCAAGGTAGTTGTCGTCAGGTGCCACCGGTGTACTCCCCTCGAACTCTTAATATTTTATTATCCAGACGCAATGTCTTGCTTGCGAGTATCTAGGGAAGAACGGGTGTCCCCTCGTGACCCTGTCGTTTCCCCGAATCGATCGGAGCTCGTTTGTGCGGAGGCCAGCGGCTCCCCAGGTTCGATCGCGACTGCGTCATGAGACGAGCGCTCTGCGCAAGGCACGAACCGATCAGCGGCCGATAGTCGAACGCTTGAGGCTGTTTACCCATCACGAGCTACTGAGCTCTGCTGCTACGGGAGCGAGAAGTGGTCATTTTTTCGGAGGTTATTATAGCTTCGCATGGAACCTCCGTCTCCTCGAAGTTCAAATGAAGTTCCGGTCTCGAGACATTGGAGTCTCAACGGCTGGCCGGCTCCTCGAGCTGAATTATTGTTTCTGGAAGACGGAAGAACCAGGACTCGATCACTGGTCAAACAATGTATGTCCTGATCCGAAATCCCGGCGACCTCCGAGATGGAGGCTTGCGAATACTCCTACACGTCGAAAGATTCTGAATTGCCTTCTCGACTCGAGAATACCGCCCTTGGTGATTTGCCTTGGCCTATAGATTGGCGTAGAGCCCAGAGAAGAAGTGTTTTGCTGGTTTTAGAGAACGCCTCCGTGCGGAAGCCAACAAGGGGCCACTGTCTACTAATCTGAGCTCGGTGATGATCTCATGCTTTGCTTTCCTGAAACGATGCCATCAGACAATCGAGCTCAAGCTTCGAAATCGCTTGACGCATGAGGCTGTCATCTTTGCGCTCAGGCGGCACCGATATTGGTTGACGAGCGACCGAAAGAATCGCGGCAATATCGAGCGCTGACTGGTACAAAAATCTCGGAGACATCTCTTCACGCGTTCCGAGGACCCTCAGCTCAGTCACGCAAGCACAAATATTCTGATTGTGGGCTGTTCTACCGGCTGGACTCCCGGGGACCGTCGTTTTCCGCGAGAGCCGGTCCCGGTCATGAGTTTTCCCTGACAGAATCGAAACGTAATTCAGAAACCATCGTCACCGAGCACTGATCAAGAATAATTGCTCGCTTGCTCTTTCATCAGGGCCTTTTAACACGTGGTGGTTCCGAATCTCCTCTCCGAGTGATGCCTACAACCCAGGAAGGCCTCGTGGTCCCGAACAGATGATGCTAATTATCTGCTCGAGGTTTCCAGATGTTTGAGAGCTCGTAGGCGTTGATGGGTGTTTGTTGTATGGCGGTCTGCGAGCATGCTCAAGTTCCCTCTTAATCCGAGTTCGGAATCTCCTCCGTTCGTGGAGGCTAGAACACAAGGTCATCCCTGCGAGTCCAAGTGACGGACTGCATTCCGCGTGACACCTCGACGCCAGACGTACGCTGAACTTCAATCGAAGCAGCCACCGGCCATACTGATAGCCTGGGCTGATCCGCCGGCTTACACTGCGCTCGAAGGGACAGAACACAGTCGGGTCCGCCCATGACTTGAGCTCCAGATTCCGACGGTAGTCGTTCTTCTGTAATCCACCTCCAAAGTGACCAAAGGAGAATGGGGGAAGCGTTTCCTCGCCGAGAGGCGGCCTCCTGCACCTGCCGACCGGCCTCATCAGGCTGGGTAACAAGATTCCTCCTACGTCACTGCGACGTAGTCAGTGAAGGTCGTTAGAATCCAGCAAAGACCAATCACTTCGGAACAAGAAATATAGGTTTGCGAGTCGGAATTCCTATTCGGAAACGGGCTCGGACATAACGCCCGCCCACCCACTCAGTCAGTCACCCACGACAAGCCCGACTGATAGAAATATATGTAGCTTCGGACACGCTACGAAGAAAAAGCGGGATTCTTTTTCTCTGAAACCGCGGTCCTCGGCCAGTTGGAGATCGAAGGACGTCGAAATCGTAATGACAACATTCGAACACTCGGAAGCCCATGATAGTACTCAGTCGCCGTGGTTCAGTCCGACACGTTATGAGTAAGTGTCCGGCACAGGTCTTTTGAAGACCTCGAGAGCCTCGTTCTTCTTGCCGATCGGCGAGGGCCATGCCCGGACGCCGCATGCAGGTCGCTGGAATCACCTCAACCTGAGTTGTCTCGAGCATTCGACTTTTTTCTGTGTGACGAGAAAGCTGTCGTGGTGCCGTGTCGACTCTACATTCCGTGGTGGACTATCTTGATTTTTGGTGAGTTTAGCATCGGCTCTTGTTTGAGAAGTCAAGCAGGGAGAATGCACTGCTCAGTGGGTCACTCAGCGAA